AACTCGATAAATCAATAAAAAAGCTCAAGGTAAGCCCTCTATTAGAGTGACTTTATTGCATTGGCGAAAAATTGGATACCCGCATAATATAGAAAACCTTGTTCGAGACAAACTAATTCACATTTGCCATAAAAACTTTATTATATGTATAATATCTATGACAATCAAACTAGCTCAAGAACGAGTACATACAGGGTGTCCGGGAACATGTGGGAAATCTCCCGGATATGAAGAAAACACGTGAAAAGAATACTATAAGTTCATATAAACTTCTTTTGTATCGGCCTCCTCTTCGGAGATATGGGCTCCCAAAGAGCTCCCATGGAATTAAGTTTTTGACACATAATTCTTGAACCAACAGGTATATTTCAATTTTTTCTTAATATGATGTATACTAGGTAAGACTCTTCAAATTACTATCCAAGAAAGTGTTGCGAATTACTCACAGCTCCAGGGACGGACTAGCTGTGACACTCATGGGCCCATTTTTTTTACGCCCTGTATGATAAGAACTCTGGACAACGTTTTTTACATACCTCTAACTATTGACTAAAAATTAAGTACTCTTCATTCATGTCGCTAATCATAACCGTTTTCGGAAAAACGTCATTTTATTTATATCATGTATTTAGCGTAATTTTCCACGGTAACCAACATAGTTTCAATAAAAAGTTGAACTTTAACTGCTTAGTTAAAAACTTCGTAACAGGGTTCAACATGGGCTCCATGAAGTCTGATACACTCGCGAGCACGACGAATTGAGGACTGCTGTACCCGCCACAATAACCCAGCATTGTTCCTTATCACATCACAATGAAACGTGATTCTCCGTAGAAGTTCCTCCCTAGTATCGACCGGAGTGGAATACACCAAGGTTTTGAGGTGTCCCCACAGGTAAAAATCTAATGGCGTTAGGTCGGGAGATCTAGGAGGCCAGGCAATAGGTCCTCCTCTACCTATCCAACGGTTTGGATAGACGTTATTCAGGTGCTCCCGCACAGCAACGCTGAAATGAGGTGGTGCCCCATCATGCATAAAGTACATGTTTCGGCGGGTTTCAAGTGGTAAGTGCTCGACTAAATCATTAAAAGCGTTCTGGAGGAACTCCAAATAAAGTATTCCATTCAATCGTGCCGGCAATACGAATGGTCCAATCAAAAAATTGCCAACGATTCCTGCCCAGACATTAATTGATTGGAACTGATGTTGGCGATGCGAAACAATAGTGGCATGAGGATTTTCATCAGCCCATACATGGGTGTTATGTAAATTCATGATACCATTTTTGGTAAAACCTGCTTCATCCGTGAAGAGAATAGTGCTAATGAAGTTTACATTATTTCGTTGCTGATCCAATAGCCAGTTTGCAAAATGCATTCTACGGGGAAAATCTTCAGGAATCAGTTCATGCACTTTTTGCAAATGATATGGGTATAACAGTTGTTCTTGAAGAACTTCATGTACTATTGTTTTCGACGCATTAAACTGCGCTGATAATTTTCGAGTGCTCGTTGAAGGAGTATCATATACAGCATTTAAAATATTTTCCTCTAATTGCGGCGTACGTACTGTTCTTCCCTGACCAGTATTATTACTTCTTTTTCCAAAATTTCCTAAAATTATGAAAGAAGTAAATAACATTACCTTATTATACCTTATTAAGAAGAATCGCCCACCATTCTCCCTTAGACGTTGGTCAACTCGTTGAAATGTCTTCTGATCTGGAAGAGTGCGATTAGGAAATCTGTCGTGATATAACCTTCTGGCTTCCAAAGCATTGGAAGATGCAAGACCATACATCAGATGCATATCTGCATACTCAATAAACGTGTATTCCATATTTCGAATTATTTCACAATTAATTTCACAACGAAATTCAAAAATCAAATATCAAAGTAATAAGGAATCAATGTATCAGTAATGTGAAAGTTGACAAGTTCTAAAATGAAGGATATTTATTTATTTCTAACCTAGCAACGTTTGCAAAGGTAACTCGAAAAAAAAGTATCTTTTATCGAAATACGCTAAATACATGATATAAATAAAATGACGTTTTTCCGAAAACGGTTATGATTAGCGACATGAATGAAGAGTACTTAATTTTTAGTCAATAGTTAGAGGTATGTAAAAAACGTTGTCCAGAGTTCTTATCATACAGGGCGTAAAAAAAATGGGCCCATGAGTGTCACAGCTAGTCCGTCCCTGGAGCTGTGAGTAATTCGCAACACTTTCTTGGATAGTAATTTTAAGAGTCTTACCTAGTATACATCATATTAAAAAAAAAATTGAAATATACCTGTTGGTTCAAGAATTATGTGTCAAAAACTTAATTCCATGGGAGCTCTTTGGGAGCCCATATCTCCGAAGAGGAGGCCGATACAAAAGAAGTTAATATGAACTTATAGTATTCTTTTCACGTGTTTTCTTCATATCCGGGAGATTTCCCACATGTTCCCGGACACCCTGTATATTATAGATGATAAATGATTTTCTCTGACTATCAAATATAATAATAATTGAAAGGCGATATTATATTATATTTGAAAAAAATGAAATCAAAAATAGATAGAAGATGCGATGTTGATTTTAATACAGGGTGTAAATTTGAAAACTTTCAATGCGAATATCTCGCGAAATGAAAAAGTTAGAAAAACGCCGCTTGGCAAAAATGCTAAAGAGTTGAGAGGAACTAGAACCATCATATTTCAGTGAAGGGATGAGTCACCCTGTCAGCGCAACACACCCCAACTTTGAAATGTCAAATGGCACTACCTCTTTTGTGATACCTCAAATGAACGGTCTCAGTCAGTAGTATTCACCTGTACATTTTTCCACTCACTACAGGGTGTACGAAAAACATTAATTCGAGGGTCTAAATTTGAAAACTTCCAATGCGAATATCTCGCTGCATAAAACAGTTAGGAAAACGCCGTTTGGCACAAATGCTACAGAGTTAGGGGGAACTAGAACCACCATACTTCAGTAAAGGGATGAGTCACCCCGTCGGCGCGACACACTCCATCTTTGAAATGTCAAATGCCACTACCTCTTTTGTGATACCTAAAATGAACAGTCTCAGGCAGTAGTATTTACCTGTACAAGACTTATTTTCCACCCACTACAGAGTGAACGGAAAACATAAAGTCGAATAGGTAAAATAAAATGCAGAATGCCGATATATTCCAAGATATGTGGATAGTGGATAGCAAAATTTGGGAGGACAGAAAGAAAACAGACTAGTTTTGATCACAAACTTTGGAATTTCTATACCAAAAGATAACCTATGAAAATCGCCACAAAACTAACAACGTCGTAGAAGTTGAAAAGGACAATTCGATGCTATCTATCTGGAAATGTATAGGACTTCTTCGAGAATAGGGCATGGTGGAACTGAATTTGCAACAACAAATTTGTGAGAGAGATATCTTGGCCTCTTGGGAATCTATAAAATATTGTATGAAGGCTTCAAGTTTCAGTAGATTCAGCGTTATGAAACATATCCAGGATTCGAAAATCAAAAACAACATGGAGAAATATTGCCAATAGGCAATAACTTCTAGTAGTGCTCAACAACAAGCTGATATGCATTTTATCAAAACGAAACTCGATATTCTTCACAATAAGTTATAAATAATAGAATGCAAGTTATTTATCATCATAACATATTATGGAAATGGAAATTTCGCAAATATATCCATATTTGAAAAAAAATCATTTGCATGAATATAATCTCCCATTAATCTTGAATATCCCTAAAAAGTCATTAAAAGATGTCCAGGAGACATTTTTGAATACTACCTAAATTGTTCCCATATCGTCCTAATGCATGTCCCAGAAGACCATATACAGTGTGTCCCAATTACCATGCTCACCATGGGTATCTTTTTAACGGTGAGAGATACGAGGTCGGTTAAATGACACCAAATGTGGAGTTTGTCAAGGCCCAACTATAATGTGAAAAAATATTTTGATAAAATCTATTCGTTTTTGTTTTATTCGCAAAAAACAGATTTTGATCATTTTCATGTCTCCTCCGGAACTTCTTTATTTATGAAAATATTCAAATAGGAATTTCACATTATCATGGAAGTTTTTCAAAGTGATTTCGAAAAAAATATGAAATTTATACCGATTCTTCTAGAATTTGAGATACCAGCACCAACTTTAGTTTTTCAAATGTAGGTTATAGCTCACTATGACTTAGTTACAAATATCTTTTTTTTCTCTTACAGATGATAAGTCGCAGTGATAGTTTTGTGTTGATAACAACGGAGTTATCGTCATTTATACAAAAACAAAAAAATTATTCGGAAGCCGCCATCTTTGGTGTCATTTAACCAACCTCTTATCTTTCACCGTTAAAAAGATACCCTTGGTGAGCATGGTAAGTGGGACACACTGTATAGGGATATCCAGAGACGTTATGAGAATGTAGAAATTGGTGATAGGACGTCCTAGGAATGTCCTCAGGCTTGTCCTCGACGTCCTGAGGACATTATTGTTAACGCCTCAGAAGGGCCTCAAAAAAATTTTGTGCTATCTGGGTAGTACCTACCAGACCCTACAGTGGGAGCATCCCAGAAATCTCGAGAAGGTATATATTTTTCAGAATTACTTTGGTATCATCTTCAACGAAGAATCTTCAAACATTGATAAATTTATTTTGAGCCCAGAAATTTGCAGTTCATTTTCCTCCTTAAAGTGGACACCATGCTAATTAAAAAAGGCATAACTCCGCGTTGCTAAAATCCCATAATGATTTAATTGCATGCCATATTTCGAAATGTTCATATTCAGTTACGCAAAGAAGATCAAAGCACTTTGACCATGAATATTTTCTCACAGAATAAGTAAACGTTTATTCAAAGTAATTGAACCTGAAAGAAACATTTTCCTAATTGAATAAACCGATGTCTTTGCACGTGAAGTAGTTAGGTACCGCGCCATTTCATCAGGCCTTTTAACGGTCACCTTGTTGATAATATTCAGCAGGACTGGGTGGGAGAAAATCCGTGGAATTTTAATCTCAAATCTATGGTAGTACCACAGAATACTGGTAGTACCCATACTCCGTGCCATTGGTGGTACCCGCCTGACCCAACATCCACAACACCCGCGAGCAGTATTAAGCAACAACTGGACAGCATTTAACATTTCTGTGAAAGTTGCAGAAGCTACTGAGTACCGCGGTTTGTTTGTGTTTTATCGGTACTTTCATAGACATTCGAATTATGCAGTACTCACTAGTGGTTGTTTTGTGTGTTGTTTTGACGTTGGAGAAAGGTAAATATTTATTTTATTCAAGGATTTGGGAATTCTCTTCTTCGCGGTTGTCTGTCTGGAATTTGTTCCTCTATTTTTTTATATAGTTAGATATAAGTTGGTAATTTTCTCTAAAATGAACATTTGAAATGGAATTTTTCAGTAAGTGGAATTTTGGGACGTCTAACGACATGGTCTTACATTACTAGAAGACCTATATGGATGTTACAATGTACAGTATCAAGGTTCCAGGGGATTATTTCTCAGGTCCAACAAATAAAATTGATGTACCGAAAAAGGACTTGACCACTGAAAAAATATCTCCCTATAGATTCTTACATCCACTTGGCATACTGATGTAAACCCGAGAACTTAACCTATATGTTTCAAATTTGATCTGAATATTTCGTAAACTGAAAGAACTATTGAAAAATCAAATCTTGACCATTTTGCGCTCTGGTAGAACGTAGAGTTTGGGCACAGATGAAAAAACCTTGAAAAATAGTTATTTATTACACAAGGGAAAAAAGTAGTAGATTTTAGCTCCAGGTTATGTCCCGACGCGTAGCGGAGGGAGACATAAAAATATTTATAAATATATTATTATAAAATATTTTTCCCGTGTATAATACACTATTTTTTTCTGTAACAGAAGAAAGGACGAATCAATATTGAGAAGATATTACATTATTTTGAAATCTGAAAATTATCGACGTGAAATTTTGAGTTTATAACAGTATAGGGGCACCTGCCGTTGTAGGCACCTTTATCATTCTTTTGAAGCAATCAAATATCTGATGTCACTTCTGTCAGTCTAGTTCTGTGATTTTGATTTAAAAAAATTGCGAATTTAGTGCGGCTGCTTAGAAATATACGTAACCGCGAATTCTAATGGAAGATAAAAGGACTTGCAGTTCTTTCTAGGAGACGGTATTATTGACTCATTTTTCGGAACTATAGCACAACAAAAACCATCAGCAGTGTATATATATGTGATATATATCCGGCAAAAAAGTACTCACTTTTTCCCACGGGAAAAGGGTAATTTATGGAAAGTGACATTTTATAACATGCCAACAGAGATGAAATGCCAAACTTTTTTCCCGTTACAGAAAAAAGTATTTTTTTTCGCCTGAAATTTTGATACTGAATTTTGAAACACCCAGTATGGGTAGGTATTATACATCCTTTAGTTGCATAACAAGGAGAAATATCTATTGAAAACGTAAAGGAAACCCATGACTAGACAGTGGATTCCCAGTCCCGTTTCCTAACTGATTACCATATATGAAAAATTTTCTTTAGAATAATATGAGAATGGCAAAAAATGTAAAAATCAATCTTTGAAAGAAAACGATCAAAATATATGAAGACTTCGACATCCGTATTTTATAGTTTCATATGTAGCAATGGTTTTTCCATGTTGACAGCAGTTCATGAAGTTTTCAATGTCAAGGTTGCCAAACATAATTATATTATTATAGATAATTTGCAATACCGGGTACATGTTCCAATTCAATGATTTTCCTAATATCGTGTAATGGGGACCAACATTATTTATTTTCTACCAAACCACGGTACTGAAACGTGAGGTCAGAGTTGGTAGAACAACTGATTATATATTTTAATACCAAAATTAGCTCTTGAATCGACGTTTCTATAGCTGACACAAAAATAGGTATGTTGCTAGGCAACATATTTAGTTCCTAGGAGCTGAAGTTGAACTCTACTTCCTAGGAGCTAAAGTTGAACTTCAGCTCCTTGGAACTAAAAAAAGATGTACTAGACGTCATCAAGAATAAACTACATTGTTACGGTTGGTTATTTGGGTTGGGACGCATACCTGATTTGTTTCCGATTTCGGCAGATTTGGCATTTCATACCCATGCTAGAGATATACATACACCTCGTATAGGAATTATGAACATCTCAGCTAAGTATTTTCGTTTCGATCAGGAAAGCCATAAACATTCACAAACTTGCTTGATCAGTATGCATTCGTTATTCTCGGGATGGATATAACTTGTTTCTGGATAATCACGGCAATAAGCTATAGTTTTTTGTCTCAAACAACGATATTGTGTACCTCCATTTGATTATCAAGTAAAACACAGTGTAGTTTGGAGAAGAAAAAATAATCTACTATTTATACCACTAGCTATAAGGCCTGCCATTTTCACTCCTTTTGGAGACGTAAAGTGTGTTTTCACTACCAAGGTAGTTTTCATCATTTCATGAACCACTAGGGACCGGTTGCATAAAAGCTCATCATTTATTTGATGTCACGTCAAATATTTGATAGGACGTTATAAATGGAATTCGGTTACATAAAAGGCCCATCATGTACTTAGTGGCATAAGGTGACTTCATCATTCAATTAACTTATCATAATGACTATTCAACTAAAAAATCAATTGCACAAAGGCCAATCAACTTTAGAACGACTTATTCATGGCATCAACTTAATCAGTGCTCGACCACTGATCAAAAGTGACAACCAGCAAATGACTTGTGAAAGTTCCGGCAACTTATTATTCAGAATATTTCGCAGAATTTTTGCAGAATCTGTAAAAAACGTTAGAGTACCTTTAGGTGAATGATAATTACAGAAAATGTCTATATCATCATTGTCTTTACTATCTGAAGAAGAACTACTGATTCCCAGGCCAAGAACCTTTCGAAATAGAAACAATCCATTCGAAATGTATGATGACAATGATTTCAATACCAGATTCAGGTTTTCTCTGACTTCTGTCAACCTGAATGAAAATCAAGCAAATAAACCTAACCTAAAATGCGTATCAACGCGAAACGCAAGGAGCAGACAGATAAGCGCTGTTGCCACACCCTTCTCGTCATTAATAAATAGAATGATTATTATAACATCAGATTGTTCATGCAACGCAAATGACATTCAACATAACATCATAACATACCATTATTTACTCCTTGTCGAGGCGTGAAGTGTGTTTCTACTACCAAGGTAGATTTCGTTATTTCATAAACCACTAGGCAATATAGACATAGCCCGAATAACCCGAATTCACTGTTCTGATACAAGATTCACATTAATGGCACTCGAATCTAGTAGGTATTTATATCAATACCGACTTGTCATATGCTGTCATGGTGAATAGATTCAAATTGGAATTGGAAAGAAGTGCTTTCATATGTCCACATTTCTGTATAATGATTGAAATGTAATGCTAGTGATGATATAAAGTTTGATGTATACCTTGGTACGCCTTGGTAGTTAAGAATATTATTACCACGCAGGACCTCATACCCCTTGGCTGAAGCCTCGCGGGATATAATCTTGGTTCCTGGGTAATAATGATATTCTTCACTACCTTGGTGTATAAATAACTATTTTCCACCACTAGCTATAAAACATACCATTATTTACTCCTTTTCGAGGCGTAAAGTGTGTTTCTACTACCAAGGTAGATTTCGTTATTTCATAAACCACTAGGCAATATAGACATATAGCCACCTCTGTTGTAATTAACCCGAATGCAATATGTTCTAGGTTCGCAGAAATGGCACTGGAATCTAGTAGGTATTTTTCAATAATAACGACTTGTTATATGCAGTCATGGTCATGTCTAAGAATTGAAAATGTGGTTTCATAGTGACAATAGGTACATATCACGGTTTCACAGAACTAGAATGATTAAAATATATTGCTAGTTATGAAAAAAATTTGACATTTACCATGGTAGGTAATAAAGAATATTATATATTACCACGGGACCTTATACCCCTCGGGTGAAGCCTCGGGATATAATCTTGGTCCCTGGGTAATAATGATATTCTTTACAACCTTGGTGTATAAATGACTATTCTTCTTGTCGGATCATTTGGCTCCTTCCTATACGATACCTTCTTCCCCGTCAATGTAAGAATCGGTCGTAAAGTTCCACATTGAGAGTAAAAAAACATAAGTCTGCTGAAGTCTTTCGATAGCTTAGGGTTTCCTATTTTTTCCAATATTTGGCATAATTTTTTTCGAATATTTTTGATAAAACAGGTCATATCCTCCAGGGCTTATTTTGGCCATCATGCATCAAGTAATTTTTGGAATAGGTACCTACCTGAATTTTTCAGAATTCTTTGAATGAATTCACAAGATATGTGACTCTTTCGTATCCCGAAAACTACTTGATATATCGTCAAAATCAGAATGAAAAAGGCTTTTCGCGAATCTGATATCAGAATATCAGGGCCGTATTTGAAACAATGAAGTTATAATGATGGTCATTCAAAGATGAAACGTTGGATCATATATTGAAAAGCATCAAAAAGTTGCAATGAAGATATTTTTCCAGTTTTGTCATAACTTCATTAAAAAAAAAATAAAAAAATAAAATTGTAAATCCGGAAATTAAGTTTTTTGGAAATAACTCAAAAATGAAGTCATATCAGAGGTTTTTGGAAATCATTTCATTGGTCCTTCACCAAATCTGTATCTCCTGCTCATACTGGCCCTCCTTATCTTGGGCACAGTACCTATATAAATGCATTTTTGATTAGGGTCATCATTCAATTCTGAAATGCATAATCAATTTTCAGATTGATGATTACTTCTGTTTGTAATCAAACCTAATCGATCCTAATAATACAAAATAATGGATAAAAATTACCAAATTCCAATATTTGTTACACTCATCAAAAATTTCCCATTCCCATTGCTTGAAAAATTGAAGGAAATGATTGTTCAACAAGAGAAATTACCTACTAGCAAGTCAAGCAGTGAGTGTATATATACCCTCTTTTCAACAGATGTGAGTAACAAGGAAACATACACGGAAAAAAAGGATTTGTTGCATCAACAAATTATTTATGCTTGAGTTATTTTTGTTGGACTGAGCAATTTTTTGTTGAATCAACGAGATACATGATTATTCCATGAAAGCAGCTTGTTCAAATCAAGAATGTAGTCTAATCGAATCAACAGTATAATATCAATTCCATCAACAAAATATATGGTTTCTTCAAAAACAAATTGTGTCGATTCAAAATGATGTCGATGTTGATTCAACTATAAACATTTCGTTGATTTGATCAAACAATGATCATTTTGATGAGAATATATATTTGAATCAACATACAAGTTTTCTTATTCCGATGTAGCAATGAACTCGTTTCGAACGGATGATTTGCTTGAATAGAGCAACGAAATATGTAATATCAATGAAATATTTTGTTCATTCTACATCAACTTAAATTTTCGCCTCTAGATGGCGATCATTTCGCCTCGTCTATACCTGCCTCGAGTTCATTATATACGTAAAGCCTGATTTTTCGTGTTTGAAATATCAGCTGGATAAATCGAACTTAGGATTAGTAGCAATCCGAAATAGTTTTCCATCAGCTAAAGAGAAGAAGAGACTAAAGATTAACGTTTACGAGAAACAGTGTGTTGATATATTTGTATATTGGTCTATTGTTGATATCTGAGAATCTCTTTGGGTATAAAAATATACCGGAAATATCCTCGACAAAATCGTTAGCTTAATTTCGACTGCCAAGCATATATACTGCGTGAAATTGTTTTAAGTATTCCAACTTCATCCAAAATTTCTGGATCATTCTGCTTAATAATATGGTGATAGTGTAGCCATCATTCTGCAAGTCTCATATCAAATTGATTCAATCGATCATGTAGCAAATAAGTAGTTATATAAATAATTCATGGTTATATAACTCGGTTATAACCTTCAGTGGCTTCACTTTACTCATTATATTATATAAGTTGAATGTATCTCATTGTTTATTGTTATTTTTTCCGTGACTAAGTTAACAGAACAATCCTTGAAATTATTAACTTCATATGTAAGAAATTAAACAATTTTTTTACTGAATAATTCTGTCACCTGTTGGAGAATCTACCATCCATATATTCCATATCTGACAATCACCGTGAATGTTTCCGGTATATTCGATTTTTCACTGTGAATATACCTCTTCGCCTCTCGAGAAAGATAGATTCATCATGGCTACATTGATGAGGAATTTTATTGATGGAATCGACGTGACCATGATAATTCAGTCATTTTTTTTTAATTAGGAGTAAACTACTCTATTCGCTAATAACGGATTCGGTTGTTATCATCCTCGGCTGCGCCTCGGATTACAATATTCGTCCGTTATCTGCTACATATCGACCTTGTGAAGCTAATCGCTATAGGACAAGATCCACAGTTGAGTTTATTCACCCCTTATTTTTTAAATGCAGAAGTTTTGTCTTTTTTCTTTTTTATAAAACTCCCCGTGTTATTTATTCTACAGGGTGATTCAAGTTTTGAGCCACAAACTGAAATGTGTGATAGATCTCACCATTTTAATCAAAAAAGTATTCATAAACATGAGTCCGATCTCTATCAGTAGCGGAGCTGCAATAGGTTAAAGATTAATTATTTTTTTCTATTAAAATATCTTGCTCATGCTATTGAGGATATCAATTTGAAATTTAGTGAGGTTGTTACTTCCTAGGAGATCATCATTTTGAGCATTTTGAAGATTCTCAAAATCTACAGGGTCATACATTTTTGGGGGTACAGGCTTCTTTATCCCCCACAAAATTTTTAGTAGTACACCTCTGATATCATCTAGTTACCGAATTATGTGAATTGTTCAATTTAGAGACTTTTATTGCCCCTCTTTTTTTTTTTGAGGAACGAACCGTTTTCTAAATATATAAGCATATATATAAAACATGTTCATTCTTATCGTGTGTGTTCAATAGATGTAATTCAATGTTCGTCGTGGCATATAGCCAGAAAAGAATTTGTTTTCTGTTCAATATTTTCATCACATGGAGAATGCGAATTCTCATCAATGTATTTCTTTATATATACATATATATAAATTTTTTTGTGTGCATAAATATATCTGAGAATGCTCCTTTTCAATTTGTTTAATTCATCTTGCTTTTATTCTGAAAACGCTTGGTTTCTCGAAAAAAATTGGAGGGCAAAAAAATCCTCGAAATTGAACGATATAAGGTAATTGGGGGGAAGATGCCAAAAGGAGGAAGATGCCTAATCTAAGTATTTTGGACAATACTCAATAGATCGCGGCACAGACACGGCTACGTTGTTATTGTGTTTATTATTAGAGAACATCATAGTTTTTGAAGCGCTTAAGTTCATGCAACTGTTCCTTGAGGTGATGTTGTGTTTTTTATTCCGGTAAGTTTTTTACGATAGAAATTAATTATGTGATGTACGACAGTGTTAAATGTTTTTTGTTTGTGCTAATATAATATCTGTAGGGTTTTGGCATTCATTACAATACTCCTGTCCTATTCTGAATGAGAAAAAGGGTTTTGTTATTTTGATTTGTGGGTTTGGCATCTCATACCTAAGGGTTGGGGTAAAACGCCAAGATCCGTGTGGGGTAAGATGCCTTATCTTAATTGCACTGTAAACTTTATAACTCTTGTTTTTTCTCAGGTTTGCGTTTATTTTGGTTAGTGGTTCTCTTTCAGTACGTCTAATTGAATAGTTTCTTAATTTATCCTGTTTGTTTTAGGTAAAATGCCACGAACGTACGTCAGAAAATCAACTAGAGGCCAATGGACTGAAGAAGACCTTAGAGCAGCTACAAATGCTTTTGTCATCTCACCCCAAGTCTGTCGGCATCTTACCCCGTAGTTGGGGTAAGTTGCCGAAATGACAGCTGTCAATGTTTACCCAACTTTTTCGTTTATTTTCAAGAAAATAAAAACTTTTTTGTGTTTAATCATTTGTTTATTTTATTTGTAATAGAATACACAGTTTTTGTAAGTTTTGAGTAAAGTTAATTGTTTTTTTTTGATTTTTACAAAAATGTTACGCGTCTTTCCCCCAATTACCTTATCAAATTTCTTAACTGCATCAAGATGTCATCAGAGGCGAACTTTTTATGAAAAAAGCATTCTCCTTGATTTTTTCCGATTTTTTCCGTAAAATTAATGATGAAAAGTTCTCCATATGAATCGATCAGAAATTATTGTAAGAAATATTAAAATATGATTTTCATCGTAGGTAGATATTTGAACGTAGTTTTCAATCACAGTCAACTTGTCTATATTATAATTCTCGATATTGTGGAAAATAAAGGTACTTTTACTCTTGAGCAAAATGTATATTTTTTGACATAACTTGTATATGATTGAAACAAATCGATATATGATATTCGCGTTTTCAGTTTTTGACCTTGCAGAAATTTTTACGAGCAATGACTTATTCCCTAAAACTAATAATAAAACAGTTTTCCATCTGTTACCAACTTTTTCTGACACTCTGTATACTCTCCTAATCGAATGGAATTATATAATAAATTATTTCTCTCAGAATACCAAAGAATTGGTAGAAATATTATTATCAAAAATCAAAATATATTAATCTGAAATATTCTCTTATCCATTTCGATCGTTTACATCTCGCCGAGATTGACTTCATGAGATTAGATACTATTACGAGTAGCTAAGATTAACGATCCAAAAGGATATAGCCATTGCAAGAATACGACTGAACGGATAGGACACCTCTGGGGAATGGACCATCAGTGCTACCAATTCACGACAATGTATGAGGTTAACCTTCAAAATGAAGATCTTATCATCCATTATTTTTATTATTATTATTTTTATATTTTGATCGTTCCTATGCCAGTATGGCCCATCAATGGAATAAATGCCGGCTGATCGACCGTCGGAAAACCGTCACCCAGAGTTTCCTTCTCTTGATGGCCCCGTACCAACGCTAGTTATTTTGCAGCAACCTCTATTTATGGGAGCAATGTATTGGGCCTTCATTTTACCGCAAATGAATGTTTGTTGGGTATATGCTGCAATTTTATGTTGATATAAGGATGTGTTGAATTATAATGAATAATAATATAGAGTTTTTCAGCCAATGCTCTTCAATGCTGGCGCTGTTCCAGCGACATCCTCCCCGAATGCCGGGACCGCTTCAACGAGTCAGAAATCATAGCTCGAAGAGGCGGCTCCTCGCTCTACGACTCCCTCCAGCAAAACTACCAGCAGGGCCAACGTTTCGACCCCAACTACGACAGCCAGCGCAACCAGAGGCAATACGACCCGGGTTATAGCGGCCAGCGCGACCAGAGGCAATACGACCCGGGTTATAGCGGCCAGCGCGACCAGAGGCAATACGACCCGAGTTATAGCGGCCAGCGCGACCAGAGGCAATACGACCCGGCTTATAGCGGCCAGCGAAACCAGAGGCAGTACGACCCGGGTTACAGCGGCCAGCCTGTGGGTCAGCAGAGAGCTTACGACCAGAACTATAACCCGAACCAGAGGCAATTCGGGCAGAACTTCGGTTCTAGTTCCAGCCTGAACAATAGGTTGCCAGAGCTGGAGACCTGCGACGAGAATGAGGCGAGGTTGAATAGAAAGAGGACCGTTTGCCTGAAGGAAATTGTCAGAGGTAATAGAAAGATATGCACATTAATATCATTCTGAATATTCAACAGAAAACAACTACTTTCCTGGCTATTTGCCACGTCGAACATTGAATTACATTTGTTGAACATCCAAAAAGAGAGCATGAAAAATGAAAATCCTCTGAAATTGAGAATTGACTCAAATCATATAAAATAATAATAAAATGATGTATTATAAAAATATAACTTACCAATATGTTCAGTATCGAAATGAAAATTGAAATGTATATGAGAAGTATACTTGTATTAACTCTGATCTTGATGAGCTCGGAACTTCCAAATATAAATCATTCGTATTAATTAGTGATATGGGAATTATACCTCTCACAAACAGGTTATATGCGACCCTAACAACAACGGGATCTTGCTGGTACATCCCGCTAAGGTCCTACAAATGTCCCAATGTTTCAGACTTAGGTACGATATCCCAGAGAAGTTTCTCTTGGGACATCCATCAGATGTTTTCATTGGATGTTCTAGAAACATCCCATTTGATCTTTTCTTCATAAACAATATCATGGTTCCATATTTGCTAATCATGATTGACATGATTGAACAGTTCAAACAATTGTGACATTTGAAACATTGAAAAGTTGGTTGAAAATGGAAATCAAAACCATATCCGTACTCATATACTTATACCTATACCAAAGCCGGCTAATTTCATAGATAATAACAAATTGAAATAATTATACTAAATATTCCTCAATAAGATTACCAAAGTATAGGTACCTGCTTAACTCCATGAACCATGTAATAAACGACAAAATTGAAATATATCTATTCAGCATATTTATTGCTGAATTTATTTGTTATACCAGCCGATAGATGGCAGTACTACTACTACGTTGCTAAGAGTTACTAACAGCCGTCGGCCCAGCGCCAACAAATATATGAGCCTCAATCCATTAGTTATTGGACCGCACCGACCTTATATTTTCGGATTCGCATTGTTACTTCATATCTGGAAATAGGTCGGCCATTTTCAGGATTTCAGATTGAAAATAATTCATACCGTGTCATCCATTTCTGTCATCTAACAAAAAACATCCTAAAAGTCTCTTTAAGATGTTCCATATCAAGTACTCTGAATGTCTCTGGTACATCCCGTATCATCCCACAAACATTCTGATGGGATGTTTATAAGACATCGCAAATGCTGACACGGGTGTTGCCAGCAACATCCCAAGAATGTCCCAAGGAAAATAGGGATTTTCCAGAGATGTTCCTATCATCCCATATATATGGATGTTTCTACGACGTCTTACAGATGTTATTGTGTTATTAGGGGACTTCACTCGAATAAACTCATTTCGGATATCAAATCCTCATCAGTAACCTGAAGTCCAGTTATTCTTTTAGCCATTCTTCATAATTATATCTGAGAATATTCCTTTACAATACTTTCACCCAAACAAGGGGTTCAAACTTGAACGATGGATTTTTATAGACCTCAATCGCAGCATCTTGATTAGGTTTTCTCAATTCAGAATTTTTTTCCACGTCCTGTATGATGAATATCAATGTACTATACAAAACAAAACCAAAAACAGGGCCGTATTTGAAACAATGAAGTTGATGATGGTTACTCAAAGATGAAACGTTGGATCAAAAAATCTATAATACCAAATGCTTTTCAAAGCATCAAAAGTTTTTGTTGAGATAGCTCAAAAACAAAAAGTCATATCAGAGATATCTTGGGCACAGTATACAGGGTATGTCACGACGAGCTTACACTCTCTTCATATCGAGAATCAGTCAGAAGAAATCCATGAGAATGTGCATGCTTAAATTTTAGAATACGCTCTCCTCATTTGAAATATTCTCGACAATGCAGTGTTGCCCCTTCTACTAGAAAGTAGTAGCAACATTGATATTCCAAATGAATCCCAGCGAGCACAAAAACATCTCAGAGATGTTAAAAGTACGAGATTTCGAGACATTGAACCTCCACTGCTATGTTTCTGTTCACACATGAATAGAACTATTATAGAACAGCCAATGTCCGCCGCAGGCGGCAATTATCGAGATGTCCTTGATATGTCACAAAACTACCTTCTCCCTACTTCTTTTTAAAGCCTTTTCATGGACACAACAAAACATTTTCAACGCGTCTTGCGCACATTAAACCGCTGTAAAGAAACATTTTCGTGGTACTTTTCTGAAGCCATTTGTCAAAATGAACTTTTGCATTAGGATTCCATTTCCCTTGAATGGAGAAATGCATTAAAAATAGATTGAACATAAAAATATTTTCTTGATATGAAATTACCTTCTTAATCGGTTTCTGAGTAGTGCTTACTATACACACAGACATATAATTGGAAATAGGTTTCCCAATTTTTGAAATGTTCTCCACAATGCATAATTTTGCAACTGCGGAGAAGCTGTGTATTGATAAATTCGTACTTTTATATATTGATTACACTAAGGCACCGAACAACACATCTTGCATCTGATGGTCATTATTACAAACTAAATAAGTCTTCTAACACAATAAACTTCACCAAATTCCTTTCTGTTCGTTAGCAGCGTGATGTAAGCGTAACACGCTGCAAACGCGAATGCCAATTGCGAAGAAGGAGAACAAAATCGAAAACAAATCAGAATTTATCGTATTGTGACGTAAGCATGAGACGTTGTGGTGGGGCAAACAAAGAAAGGGAACAAAAAAACAAAAACAATACTTTCAATATCCTTCTAAGACCTCTTTGGGAAGTGCATTATACGCCTCAAAAAAACATCCTCATGCCTACATTTCTAAAACATCCCAAAACATCCCAGGGATACCTCTCAGTAGGCAAACAAAGAGATGCCATAGAAGAACAAAAACAATACTTCAATATCCTTCAAAGACCTCTTTGGTCAGTGCATATTACGTCTCAAAATAACATCTTCATGCCAACATTTTCAAAACATCCCAGGGATGTTTGTGCTCGCTGGAATCACCCTGTATACCATTGCATTTTCGAATTCTGCATCATTTTCTGGATCCAATGATACCATATGAGTGACATTTCAAACTCCAAAGTTGATTTTGATTCCATTTCGGATTTTTGTAATTCTAAAAAGAATTGAATCCTGTCAAAAATGTGGCGTTCTTGATTTATCATCAAATCAAGTTCATCAGAATGGTTGGGTGTACCATGATCCTGTTACACCCGGTATTTCAACTTGAATTATTCATGCGTAAAACTCGATTTCGTAAGAGATGTTGTTCATAGATAGACATCGTGATAGAAAGTAAGAAACCTAATTACAATTCAGTGACCTCTATCTCCCCAGGAGTTCGACCAATATTCCGCATACCGCTTATATTTATACAGTGTGTGCGATTTCAACCCGCAACACCCTCTTAATTTGGAACCAGGGAAATGATTTTCAAAAACAAAAATTCCATAATATATTTCTCAACGAGCTCTATTCGAAATTGTGAAGAAATCTGGAATATTCAGATTTTCAAGGCCTACTTTTGTTGAATGTTGAATAGTTGAATGGGTCAAAATTTCAAAAACGGACATGCATTAGGCAATTTTTATTCAAAACAGAGACTAGCCTATTCGATTTAGGCATAGCTGGAATACTTCCATACAAATTTTGAACGCAATATCTTATATAGGGTGTTAGTATTATTCATTCTCGGCGCTTTTCCGATTCACCCTGTAATAAAATCTAAGAAGTTGATATAACTGGTGAGGTAGATTACTAAGATACAAAGTTCCAAGATCCGAAATTAAATGAAACTAAAGTCGAGCTTCACCATTTTGAAAACTCAAAAAAACCGTCAAATATTATATATGCCAACAATTCATAATAAATAATATGATTTATACAGTCTGTCCAAGATAAGGTTGAACAGCATGGGGATCTCGGAAACGGTAGGAGATACGAAGTCGCTTAAATGGGGAAAAAGTTGCGCATTCGGAGGCTCATATCAAGAGCCTTCGAAAAGTATTCTCAGTTTTGCTGTATCTCTAATAATAACGGAGAAAAAAAATAAAATAGAAATTCCAAAAATTAACTTTTTTCGATATAACTCAAAAACTAAAAATAATTTTCAAAATTTTCGAAGGCTCATGATATGAGCCTCCGAATGCGCAACTTTTTCCCCATTTAGCCGATTTCGTATCTCTTACCGTTTTCGAGATCCCCATGCTGTTCAACCTTATCTTGGACAGACTGTATACCGATATGTGACGATTTTGAAAAATACACCGCCAGAGACAGAGATAATGGAAGAAGCTGCGAAAGTTGGATTTGTTTCCGGAAATTTCAAGAAAAAAGTAATAATTGGCATAAACGAAGAATTTATGGAATCTAAAAAAATACAGAAATAAAATCTCTTTCGGAAAGTGTACTTTTTTGAAATACTTTGAGGAACTAAGAAAGGCGTCTACTCTTTGGTCACAATATTCAATATGGCATAGTGCAACATTATAAAATGAATACCATTAGCTACATTACTCGGATTCTTTGAATAAGTGCAGTTTTGTAGAAAAAGTATAGTGTGCAACATGTGGGGAAAAACACTTTTCCCACTTGTTGCACAATATACTATTTCCACACACTTCACCACCTCAATTGATAAAGAGTTGTCGAATATAACACAAAAATAGAATGACAGACAAACACTCTCCAAAGACTGCAAGGAGATATACTGATACTTGATGACTTAATGTGATAATATATAATGTGTGACACTTGTTTTCAGTTTCCTACGTTACCATGATACCTTTTACAAAACAATGCGCGAAGTAAAACAGTGCGCGAGGTACCTACTTCGCGCATTATTGTTATGTAAAATATATGAGATATGTATATTTCAACTTTATGGTCCTCAATCGAGCGAACATCCACGAAACCATTTATTTCTGAATGTTCAACAATAACTTTGTTTTATCTCTTGGAGCGCACGAAAGGGAATTCCTATTATGTTCGTGAAACATCGTGCGTAAAAATAACTGTTTTGTATCCAGTGCGCGAAATGCTACTTTGGTGATCAAGATCTGATTTTTTTAACGAGGCGTAACCGAGTTAAAATAATAGTCGAGATGACTAAAGTATTTCGCGCTCGAGTTGCAAACAACATTTTTTTCTACAAACGTCGAAAAATATAGTTCTAAAGTACAAATATGCTTAGCTTGATATAAACAAATAGTGTTAAAATGGCTTAAAAGGCCTCCCCCTATCCTCTCTAGGTACACATAGATCAATACTTCTGAAAATTGTCTTTTTAGACACTTTAATTTCCTTCTTGCTTCAAAAATTATGTAAACCCAGTTTCGGGGGAGTTGAAGGGGGGTCCACACTATTATTAGCGCAAATGTCATGTTCATATAGAGAACCTCTGACTTTGAATAGCATGATCTTTTAGACTATAATAAAATGTAAGAACTAGGTCTCTTGCATTTTTTTTCATACAACTCACCCTTTGTCAGAAAATCGTAATCAACGTTAACGGTTAAACGCTCATTGCATACGGAGGTGATCGTATGTCAGACTCAACAGAGATTATACACTCCCCAATTAGTTTAGGAAACAATAATAGAAAACTTCTTTAGGCAAGCCTCTTGAAGAGGGTGTTTCGACCAATGTTCAATCGGCTTATTTTCTTATTTTGGGTCGAAGAATCAAATAAAAGGAGTCCTTTCCTGTTATTAGAGATAATTTCCAGATTAAAATAGATTATTTTCATTTTCAGGAAACAATTACGTGAGTATCATCCGTCGATGTGAATCTATCCCCTTTGAACAAACTGTGGGAACCTGCCAACCATCAGTTAACAGAGGACTCCAGTTAGATTTTTGCGAATACTGTGACTACGATGGGTGTAACTCTGCTACAAGACTCAAGATGAATATATTTTTGGCTGCTTTCATCGTATTTGTACTTCATTTTGTGAATAACTGATTTCGACCATAGTGACTATTGGATGTTAATAAACTGTCGCATCAGTTGATGTGGAAAAAGTAGCATGAAACAGTTTCATGTTGAAATTAAATACCTATAAGTTTACATGAAGTGTGAATAGAATCAAACGAGAATGTTTATTTGTAATACAGGTTATTTTATAATATCACAAGTTCTTTTGAATATAACATTTACTATGGAACAGTATAGATGTGTCAACTATATACTGAAATTCGGGTATTTATAAATTTTTCATATGCTTTTATTGGTATAAGCTATATTGATATTGTATTAGCTGAATCAAATGACTACCAATGAAGTTATATAATCAATTTTTGATTTATTCAACAAACTCTCAAATGTTGTACTTTTAACAATTTGTGTTTTTAATTAAAATAAAAACATTGAATAGGATCATATACTGTACCTATATTAGGAAAAATAAATATGATAAAATGGGTTTACTTCATATTATATTCTCCAAATGGATCACAGTCCCATTGAACTCTATTTTAGGGATGGAGTCCATAATAGTCATTCACCATTGTTATTTCAATGCTGGAACTAAGTGAAAAATAACATAAAATGTCTGTATAAATTGTAATGATTTTATTCATCTATAAAAAATATAAAATAACAAAAAAATATTTACACATATTCAAGCAATGGACGGATGATCAGTAAGCAATCAATAGGCACTTTTAATATGATATGTCAAGTCAATATAATTATCTTATTAAAATAATATGAGATTCTGATAAACATACATTGGGTGAAGCATGAATGAAGAATTTAGTAAAAATAGATGTAATAATTGCCAGCAAATTTCCAAAATCAGTAAATCACTATATCTATGTTCCTACATGATATGACAATTGACAATTGGTTACTCCTGTACTAGAAATGAAAGTTGTTGAAGTGGGAGTATTCTCAATTAAGGCACCAAACCAGATAAATATACCTTTGAAGAAAATTTCATTTCATCAACACAGTATGCTAACAAGTTATTCCTCAGACCTTTCTTTTTTGTAAAAATGGATACCAAAACTAAAGTAACATAAACTGTCTAATTTAAAAATTTTATGAACTTACTATTCCTCATATCATGTTCAATTAATTTTCATGATAATAAATATTGCAGAACTACTACAACTGCTGCTATACTCAAGCCTAATACCTTTGACACACTAATACCTGCTCCTCCATTACACTCATCTTCTGAGCAGTAACACTCTTCCCAGTATATGCCATTTTCATATACACCCCAATTACAGACCCCTGTAACACCAGTATCAGCAACAGAGGCACATCTTCTGATTACCTGTCTCCATCTACCATCCCCTATGAAGTATAGTAAAATTGATTTATAGTAAAATAAGTCAGTGAATGTGATTTCAGGATAAAAGAATGGGGGATGTAAAAAATTTAATTATTTTTGTTTCTTGAAATCTGGGTTGAAATTAGGAAATTTAGTTTCCCTCATATTCCTATCCTAATTTTGGCAAGTAAGATTATATGGGTTACATAGCTTTCTACTAATTTTTATAGAGGCTAATTTGGGGAGTAGTTAAACAATGTAATGTGATAACTGGTCAAGATGTAATTATTTGATATAGTACTGACCAAAGCTGACCTACCATTGAACATAACCAACCACAAATGATTTTGAAACAGATCATATATATACTTTGATCAATAAGGAAGGTATGCTTTCATGGAGGCTAATATTTTGAGGTTTACTTCATGTATGAAAGTAACTTTTCCATGCATATACTTACAAATGAAGCCCTTTGGACTTTGCTGTGTAACCTTCATGCAAAAGGACCCAGGCATATGACTTTCTTCACTGTTACATTCAACAGCAATATGATCATGTTTGTAAAACTTTCGGTATGCTCCACAATTATCTTCATTTGGTCCATCTTCATTTGAACTACATTGGAAACACCTCACAGCACTACCTATTGAATACATTTGTTATCATAGTAATAAAGCATAAGTATTTGTTTTTCTTGTTTTCTTACCTATTTCAAATATTGATAAAAATACAATTATACCAAAAAACATCAATGTAGCTTTGGAATGCATTCCACTTACTGAACTTTCTAAAACTTACTATTATGCTATTATATCACAATATTGAGAAAATGTTATTAAATGCAAACAATAACAAAAAGGGCGTAATTGCCGTAATTCTTGTTGTTGATGTGCACTTGTTGTCATGATTCATTCCATTGATTTTTGACATCTGTCATCTAACATATTAGTTGCGTTTTATTTGTTCCATTCTGGTAGCGGTGGTGGGAACAGAATGACGTTTACAAATAAAACGAGAAACTTCATAACCTTGCATGGGAGAATTCACGCGGTTATATTTATATAACTGGGGCTCCAAATAAGTTCAAAGTCATGATACTAGAGTTGAGAATCTAGAAAATCATTCAACGAATATTTGGAACAGAATTGATTTTATCTGGGCATAAACATATATGAAACCCGTCTCACTAAAGAGAATCATTAACTTGTGAACTTCACGATAAAAATGTCTACTATTCATTCCGCATATTTCGACCCAACATTCTGCTGAAATTGCTGATTATCAAAAGATAGTGTGGCTTCAGTGAAATGTCATTATTTTATAGGTGGAACTGGTGGAAGTAATGGCACAATAATAAATTGATAATATTATTTTTTATATCAGATAATGCTTACAATAATATCTAGTTCAGATGAACGAGAAACTATACATTAGTAACAACCTGACAACTGCCAAAGTTCACCAGGCTGATCAGCTGCTGCTGATAACTGATGAAAACCATGAAAACATGTTCCGAATCACAGCACTGTACTTTTGATCTTATATATCGAAACACACTGACCAGTTGAATTCGGAATATAGCCAGAGTTCAATGCAAGGAACAGACACATGCACAGGACACAGAATATATATATAGATATAGAATATAATATTGTGATGTTAATTATCCCCGAGGTGTGAAATTATTTGATATTTATCATGTACTCGAGTCCGACGTTGAACCTATATTAATCTGTGCCGAAATGTAAGGATTTACCGCAATCAGTCCCATAAGCGGTGATCACAACCAAACTTTTTACGTTTTGCTTTTCACGTTTTGTATTCTGATCGGCGAAGCGGAATCTTAAATTAGACGTGAATTTAACTGAAGCAAATGTCACTATCTCAACAAAAAACGTCAACGTGAGTTTTCATGTCTTTTCTCAGTTGCTTCGGTTTTGTCACTTGTGCTCATCCTGAAATTCGAAGAAATATAATCACAACAATAATATTAATTTATCATTCTAGAACACGTGATTTTGACATGGTTTCTTGAGGGGCACACAAACTATCTGTTAGGTTACCTCTTATGAGCATAGCCCTGGCCATCCCTGAAACATCCACAATATGATAACAGTTTCACCCAACAAAATTATGGAATTCTTCCTGGTTCCAACTCGGATTCCAAGAAAAACGATCCCACTTATTCTGGTTTAATATGACAAATCTTGTCAAAACACAATGTCAAATGACGTAATTCTGGAATGATTAATTGAATAACGAATAATATTCATGAGTACTGGCGGAGACGTAAATTGCTGCTTGAAGAAAAAATCAATCCTAAGAAGGCGAATATTGGGTGAGACTATTTATACCATTATCCTAAATCGTGCTATTTTCACACATAGTGGCATCTTGCAACGCAAAAAGCTGAAAATATTCAGGCTTTCAGCGTCATGTCCATTCCAGATTTTGCTTCACCAATCAGAATGCGAAACGTAAAAAGAAAAACGTGAAAAGTTAATTTGTGAACGCTGCTTCTTTCATAGCAGAGATGAGTTACCCGTAACTTATCTCTGATTCATAGTCAGTCAGAATGAAGCCAACACCATATTAAGATACTGTCATGAGACGCTTTTTATCTGTGTTCTTTTTCTATGAATAGTGATCACTGATCAGCTGTGTGTTCTGCTTCTGCTATTCTGTGACATCCTGTGACACTGACATCTGTGTTCCATGTTTATGTTTCCTGTGTTTATATTTTTGTGTTTTGATTTTGATATATTTTACTAAATACTGTTTCACTTGATTATTAATTAATGACTACACTACAAGTTTGAGCACTATTAAATTCTCTAAACATTCGAATTAAAATGAACACAGTACATTTTCTAGTTTATCTTAGTATTGTTTCACTATTCATCATTCAACAAGGTATGGTATCTGATTTATTTGTTGGTTCATTTCACAATCCATTTTCAAATATTTCTTTAATACCTAACACTGGGCCTTTCGTTTCAGTGTGAAGTTTTCCTAATTCCTCATTATTAAAATCTCTGAACCTGTATTATAAGATTATTGTTTCCATGATTTCAACCATATTTCAACATAACATTCTGACTTTAATAGGTTAGGTTACATGGTTACACCCTAAGCTACACCCACGATTATTCACCATTATCCTATTTAATCTCAATCTTACTTGAATTCATTCATATTTCAGGGTTCGCTATCAAATGTTGGGACTGCCGATCAGATGCTGATCCAAAATGTTCTGATCCCTTTGACAACACAACATTTGCTATAACAGATTGCAAAACCCTAAAAGAATTAGATTACTTACCTAATGTAAGACCAACTATGTGTAGAAAAATACGACAGAAAGGTAATTATAAATAGGTGGAGGACTGCACAAATCAATTTCTGATAAGGGATAGGAGGAGGGGAAAGATTATTGAAAAAATAAATGTTGACTTGAAAGTGGTCAAAAGTGTATGCTGCAAATCACAGTCAACAGTTTTATGATTATTTTTATTCTTTGTAGTGCATGGAGTTTGGAAATATATTCGAAGTTGTGCTTATCTTGGGGAACCTGGTATACAAGGTGATGAGCGTTTCTGTCTCATGAGAACAGGAACCTACAATATTTTCATGGAATATTGTACATGTAATACAAAAGATGGCTGCAATACTTCTTCACATTTGAAAATATCACCTTTACTGATTTGGAGCTCAGTTGGTATGTTTATGGTCAAGTTTATAGTTTTCAAAGTTGTCAGTTAAGTTCTATCAAGATTTCATATTATAATCAAAAGCAGCTCCATTTATATTTTTGAGGTAATAATTTTTTAGTAAATTTTATTGATTTCTGTTCATTATCTTCTATACTTTTCATTCTTCTTGAGGGTGGAACAAAAACATATCACTCGATAATAAATAGTGGTTTATTGAAATTTCAATCCATGATACACTGATCTGACACCTAACAATAGACTAGCAGTAGAATATAAAATATTGTATAAACTGCCTTCTCTGTTGTATGCCAATTCCAATTTCATCATTTTTATGTTGATGAATACCATGAATGATGAAAGATTGAGATTAATGATTTCCAGATTCTGTTGTTTTTTTCTATTCACAGTACCCAAGATAATCATCTGACATTGTGATGACATGAAGTTAAACATGTTTTCTCATAGTTTTTATGTCATCACAATATCAGATGATGACATTGGCTACTGCAAATATCTGGTATCTAGTTTTATATGCAATAATGTACAAATAGAATGTAAATAGGACCATCTGGGAATTTTTATGTTACTGAAGTCTCAAATTTTATTGTGATTTATATGTTAGTTTCTTGTTTTAGAGCATTCATATATGCAGTAATTTTTTTAATCTATTCAATATCTTTCATTTAATGACTGTTTTGTACTGATAATATTTGTATATGTATGTGATTTACTTGGACTTGTCCTTTTTTATTAATGGTGTCAACATCAACCTCATGGTGAAAATAGTGGATCAAAGATCATCATCAGTTGAATGAGCAATTCTGGAATACAGTGATGACATATGATAGAAATTATATCTGCTGTATCTCCATATCATAGATATATTTTTAAAAATCTTTGGACAGGTCAATCACTATTTTTGAACATTTTTCAACCACCTGTCAACCTCCTGCATCTTGAAAGTGTTTTAATTATACATAGGTTCCACCTTGTTAGAGTGTTATTTTAAATCTTGAATCTGATTGTAAATGTAGGTAAAGTAATACATTGAAACTATATCTACCATTACCTATAATTTGGACAAAAATATCAATGAATTTGAAATATTTTCATTGCTCTCTCACGGATATAGCTATAGGGAATTGTAACAAATTTAGACCATTGTATAGGTATTGAAAATACTTTTTTAACAAGGTGTAACTTGACCCCTTGAACAATTTAAAAATCTGGAAGGAGTTGATCTATTGGGCAGGATGTTGATAGGTAGATGAACATTTTTATATATAAAGAAAATAGATTTTCAAAATTAAAAACCGACCAGTCCCAATATTTTCAAAAATAGGTTTATTTCTAGTATGGAAATACGGATTTTATTCCATCAAAGGTTACCACAATTTATATCATAATATAACCCTTTGATTTTTTTAAAAATATGTTTCAATAAAATATTGAAGATATATTCATTCCATTCAAAGTATCCTTTTCAATCATTTATTGTTCTTGAAAAAATGTGTATCAGACATTCAACTTTCAAGTTGTATCTTTCATATTACTTATGATAACTATTATGGCCAATAAAACAAATATTAATTTTAACTTGTATATACAATGAAGGACCGAGCAAAGAACTGTTTAAAATTATATTGTACCTAGTTTGAAGGGAATCTCTTGTAGATGTATTTACAGCTAGTTTTATTACTCTTTATACTACCTGTATCCGTCCAATTGATGTATTTTTATATTTTCTATAAAACATCTTGTTCAAATATAAGAGTTTATTTGAAACACTAGGTATAGATACTTATTTTTCCCACATCACCATCCTCATCTGTCATCTATTTGATAATGTTAATAATCTCGATAATGATAATAAAAGGTGAGTGCAACTGGTGCAAGGTTGTTACTTGTTATCTACTCAATTGCTCAAATATTTTTAAATGTTTCATAATATAGGTAACCTATATGATTGGATTGATAGTTCAAATGGTTCAAAATAACAGATAACAGAAGCCTTCTCCGGAGTCCGGAAAGGACAGTAGCTAAACACCTCTAGATACATTTTGCCGTCATTAGTCATTTGTATAGAGTCACTGTATCATACACTGCATAACGCTGCCATCTAGAGCCAACATGTGATACCTCTACGTCTATACATTGCAGAGTGGAACTATAAGTAGAAGACTCTGCTGACA